TCCATTATTCTTATAGATGGCAGAATATTTTCCATCTTTTATTTTATTTTTTGAAGTGAAGTCTGCAGTATTATGCCAACATTTCTTGCTTCTGTCCAGACAAGTCACTTATTCTTTAATTTTTCAGATGCAGCTGGCACAGTGCCTCTACCCATAACCACACAGAGCACAGGAAAGAAATGTGGCAAGCCACTTTTCCCAGAGGCAGAATTAATAAAACTATGAAGCCAATGAGCATTGTGCCATCTGCCCCTTTTACAGGGACAGCATTAATCACAGCAGACCTCCCAGCTGAGTCCATCTTCTATCCATAACCAGATTCATGAATCTACCGGGGCAAGAAAACATTAGACAGCACCAATGGCAGAAGTTTAAATCTGCTCTCCCAGCACCCAGTCTTGTTCCCTGGCTCAGCTCTAGCCAGCAGCAGGTAGGTCCCCTTTGGAGCTGGCTCTTGTCTGACACGGGGCAGCTGCTGGGCTCTGCTCACAGAGACCACCTTGCAGCCCCTCCCTGCTACTAAAATCTTGCACATAAACCCAAAACACCTAGTAATTCATGTGATGCTTTCTGGCTCTCCCTTTCCCCTTAAAATCTATGAAAGCCTGAGGAAAGACAATCTGTTTTGCAAATCAAAGAAGGAAATATGTTTTCTACTGAAATATCATTCAGTAAACCACACTTCCTTCAGTTCCTTCTATGTAGGAATCACACAACTCTATCCCTTGGAAGTCTGTGTGCTGCAAATTCAGACTGCAGAAAAAAAAAAAAATCATGCGATAGGACTGATCAGATAATTCGTATGTTAAAGCAGGAAATTCATTAATAATACTGTTGACAAAAATCAAAGCAATTTAATGTTTCACTCCGATAAAGTTTGCTCTGAGGAATAAAAATACTTAATTTTAACTTTATTATCACTTTGTTAGTCTTTTAGATCCCATCAAAATGATTTATAGGCTGGACTTCAAACCTCTGTTCTTGATTATGAACATCATGATACTTGGATCTCTTATTTTCCTTGGTTTATGACCTATTCGTGTCAAACTGATCTCTCTCTTCTATCTGAAAGTCTTTTAATATGAATAACTAAAGTTTTGAGAATAACATTTTAGATTTTTAAATGAGAGTTTTAAAAGTTGTTGAATTATAACATAAGTTTTATTTATAACAACCTTGAAATTATTAGCTAAGTGTGCACTAAGGTACAGAAAATAGATGCTTAACATCACAGAAATTCTGCCTTATGTTTATTTGCAAAGAAAAATAGACATACAGGGAATTTCCTTTCCCTTTCTTCCTGACCACAGCTGATGATCGTTGCATTATCACATGCACTATGGGAGTCAATAACATCTAATATTTTTCTGCATATTCTTTTTTATTACCTATCCAGTTCTCATTCATATGCAGTCTATAAAGCTTTTCATATTCTTGCTCGTCTTAGCTATTTGCATTGCTAATATTTAACAGTAAATTTCATAGTCTAATTATTTATTACATTAAAAAACATTTATTTTTATTGATTTTAAAGTGTTTGCCTGATAATTTTAACAAATGCCCTTGTGCTTATTTTATGAGCTAGGCTGATTTGCATTCTCTAGAACAATAATTTTAATTATTTTCTTTTTCCCGCAAGACAGAAAGAACAAAACAAAACAAAACAGTCTGAAACTCCTGATTTAGTCTCTATTCATCCTACTAGCTCAGGGTAGGGTAAGCAGATGTCTGACTTCAGCAGGGCCCAGCCACATGGCTGCATCTGCAAGATCACAGTCAGAGCAAATGATAGCTATCACTTCTACCACAAAGGTTTTGTACCTGCAACTGCAAAGTCTGAGCACAATCAGCTGGTAAGAAGGAGGCTTCTGCTTCTAAAACTTTTGCCCATAGGATTCAGCTGACAGTCCTTTTTTTCAAGATTACGTTGAGCTCCCACATACTATTTTTCACATAACCAAATATTGATTTTTGTTTATTTTATTAACAAGTATTTTTTAACTGAAAAACTAATTAGGTAAAAACCTACTCCCTTCCATCCCCCCCTCCCCATTTCATATTGCAATCAAAATAGAAATAAACTTCTGCTATTTGAAGTCACTTGATAAAATATTTTTTTAATGCTTTGCAAAAGTTGTACTGATGTTGTCCAGCACCCATTTTGCTCATGTGCAAGGCCCTGTGGGGCCTGAGTCAGAGGCAGATCTCTACCCAGTGTTACAGTGGCTGACACCAAATTCCACAGACTAGCTGTAACAGGGCTGCAGAAAGCCTAGCCCTACCAGCTGGTGTTAAGTAGATGATTTTTGTAGCCTAGCACAGCCTAGAACACAAGTGTTCAAACTGTCTCCATCTTTATTTTGGGAAAGTTTTATTGGTATAAAGATAAGCGAGATAAATTAAGATCCTTCTGCTTTCTTCCATGCAATTTCAGAATTTACTGAAGCAATGCACAAGTCGTAACTCTCAAGGGAATAACACAACTACATCATGTAAAATGCTATGGCAGCAGCTTGCTTCCTGAATCTCTTTCAGCCTTTCTCCTCTCTTTTTAAAGTGCAGTCTACGTCTGTGTTTTATTATCTCTAAGCAATATGAAGAGGTGACTGAATTTATTAAGATCAGTTGGTTGTTTGGGGTCACTAATTTAACAGATCAATTACACTTATTAAGTAAATATTATTTTTCTGTATAATAAGGAGAAGAATACAATACAAGAATACAATAGTAGACAAGTAAGAAGAACATAAGGATGCCAGTACATCAATCCCAGAGAGCTTTCAAGCATAGATCAAATATAATAAAATACCTGCATGCTAGTACAAGAAGCATGAAGGACAAACAAGGAGAAACTGTAAGGTGTGACTAACACAGAAAAATGATATAGGAGAGTTGACAGAAACATGGTGGAACAGATACCTTGCTAGTTAGTAAACATGGTGAGTTAAAACTCAGCAATGATGGCTGAGGATGAAATAAAAATGTATATGTTTGTACTGTCAAGGAAATTAGACTTGTGATATGATAGACAACTAAAACAGAATTCCAGAAGGCATGTAGGAATCCACCCTAAAATCCTTATGTTTATTATAAGCAATGATGAATCACAGCACTCCTGTTGAAAAACATTATTCAATAATAATTCTTTGTACAATTTGTAAAGGACTAAATGAGAAGGGAGAAAATTATAATAAGTGGATAAGAATGGATAGATGACCAAACAAATGTGATCAACAACCTTCAATGATCACTGAAGTTCAAAGAGGAGGAGAAAAACAACTGCAACTTAAGTTACGTGGCATTAAAATTTTGCGAGAATACTTTATCAGTAAATACTCCACAGGAGTAAATCAATGACATGGCTTGCCTATGGAAAACTGCCACCTAACTATCCTATTAAGTGCCTTCTGTCTGTACCAAAACATTTGTATGTGCTCTATTCTTGTATAGCATCAGGTGAGAAGAGACGTAACCAATCAAAACATATAAAAGAGATGCCAAAACCCCTAACTGAATTTGAGCACTATAAATAACAGTATAAAGTATAGTAGATATACCCAGTGCTATGACACATTCATGATATTTTGATCATGTTTTTCTGCAGTGAAATCAACAAACAAGAGTTTCAAAAACAGAAGTAGGGAATAAAGCAGGTAATTAATACTTTTTTTTTTTTTTGCCAGATAATTTTAACAGAAAAAACTCTATAATGGAAAATCATTATCATGCATTCAAATTTAGAACCAGATGTCTACAGAGCAAACATATTAATAAAAGCAGAGAAACATTTAATAGAACAACTTGCATATCACCTTCAACATAATAACTATAATAATATAAAAAAGATCTCAACTTGCTTTTCTGCGGTTTTAATATCTTGTGTTTTAATTTTGACTTCATATGTTGTAATATAATTTCATTTTGTGGCCTAGCTGCACTTACTGTGCTATAGACAAGTTATGAAACTGAAAAGAAAAGGCAAAAAGGAAAGAAAACCAACAACATAATGTAAAATATTTAGGAACTTGAAAAAAAAAAAAGGTAAATATAAAGAGTTTTAAAGAGTAAATTTAAAAGAGTTTTATTTGTCAAGTAACAGGAAGAAAGATAAAAGTGAAGACACAAAAATTGAAAGTTAAAAAAAAGAATATAACAAAATGAGTAACTTTTTCTCCCAAAATGTCCATGAATTAAATATATACATACATGTAAAATTTTAAAGATTGTCATGAAAATATACATTATTAGAAGATCTGAGTGTATTTCATAAGATTTTTTCTACAGGGGAAGTTTTCAAAATAGGAAAATTTTGAAATCAATCTGTTCTCTATACGTCCTTCAAGCTACTAAGAAACTACATTATGCTAATACTGGAACACAAACATTTATCATTGCATTATTGAACTACATGTCACAGGACAACTAAAATAAATCTGTGTTATGATCATTCAGAACAAATAATAAAAACTTCTATATTTGTTAAAAATTTAAAGCCATGGATGATTGACATCTATATGTTCATTCTAAATATTTGGGTCAGGTACGTTTAATATCATGCACATTAGAATAAAACATACAATCCAATGGGAAAAAATGATGAACAGAGACAATGAATTTTGAATTAACAGGACAAATACAAGTGATTATATCTTATCAGATCAAGCCACATTTGCATATCTAAGTGGAAAAATAAAAAGCTTATTATAATTAAAAAAAAAAATAGCCACACTATCTTCTGCATAAGGTGATGATAAACATTCAGGGATAATACTCAATCTGTCTGGATTGCCTGAAAGTCTTAAGAAGAGGACTGCCTATAGAAGCTAGCCATTCTGCACCACAGGGGAAGGATGGTATAGTTTACAGTGCAGACTCAGTGCACAGGACCTTTCCCTGCAAGGGGAAAAAACAGTAATGACTAATTAGAGCGACAGCAAGTCGCTGAGATAACAAGACACATTTTTCTTATTTAACTAGGTAAGTCATACACAAAAGCTAACCTGCCCCAGCTCACAAGAAGGATCTTTTTCTCTTCCTCCTCCTTTCTACTGCCTCCATGGTGCTTACAAGGAAGGTGATTCAGGCAATGAGCCATTTCACCTGTGCAGCCAGACAGGAAGCCAATTTTGCAAGAATAGGGAAAGTAAAAGCAGCAGGAACTACTCTTACATGTACTGCAACTGGTCCTGTGGAGCCTGTATCAACACTTAGGCTCTCCCAGTTGCACTACCTGTGACTCAAAGTAGTTATGGATAAGCAGATGCAGTTTGTTACATCCTTTTGCTTAGTAAATTAACTTTTTTTTTTTTTTTTTTTTTTTTTTTTTATACTGTTTACATTTCTGGTGTCAAGAGCATGACACATCATCAGACTGTATTGCAAATTCAAGTACACCTTCATTAGTGATAGTTACTTTTAACACATTTGACTAACAAAAAAAGTGAAAAAATAAAACCAAACATGCCACCAGGGACCCTTCAAGAAAAATACTAGTCACAGACCTGTCTGATGTAAATGAATTAATTCTGGCTAATTCACAACAGTAAGAAAGAACAATTACTGAAGCAGAAGAACAAGTAGTAACAAGCTATCACTGAAACTACAAACCAAATGAACATGGGGATAGCACCTGGACAAAAGACAAACAGTGTAAGAAAACAAAAAGCTTAAAAGCACCTGGTTAATAGTGCCTTTCAGCTAACCATATCCAAGCAAATTCACTCAGTTTGGCCCTGGTGGGGGCTAAGAAAGAATCACACAGAATCACAGAATCGTCTAGGTTGGAAGAGACCTCCAAGATCACCTAGTCCAACCTCTGACCTAACATTAACCAATCCTCCACTAAACCATATCACTAAGCTCTACATCTAAACCTGTTTTAAAGACCTCCAGGAATGGTGACTCAACTACTTCCCTGGGCAGCACACTCCAATGTCTAACAACCCTTTCAGTAATGAAGTTCTTCCTAATATCCAACCAAAATCTCCCCTGGTGCAACTTTAGTCCATTCCCCCTCATCCTGTCACCAGGCACATGGGAGAACAGACCAATCCCCACCTCGCTACAGCCTCCTTTAAGGTACCTGTAGAGAGCGATAAGGTTGCCCTTTGAGCCTCCTTTTCTCCAGGCTGAACAACCCCAGCTCTCTCAGCTGCTCCTCATAAAACTTGTTCTCCAGACCCCTCACCAGCTTCGTCACCCTTCTCTGGACTTGCTTGAGCACTTCCATGTCCTTCTTGTAGCAAGGTTCCCAAAACTGAACACAGTACTTGAGGTGAGGCCTCACCAGAGCCGAGTACAGGGGGACAATCACCTCCCTAGCCCTGCTGGCCACACTGTTTCTGATACAAGCTAGGATGCAGTTGGCCTTCTTGGCCACCTGAGCACACTTCTGGCTCATATTCAGCCGACTATCAACCATCACTCCCAGGTCCTTCTCTGCCTGGCAGCTTTCCAACCACTCATCTCCCAGCCTGTAGCTCTGCTTGGGGTTATTGCACCCCAGGTGCAGGACCCGGCACTTGGCCTTGTTGAACTTCATGCAGTTGACCTCAGCCCATCGGTGCAGCCTATCCAGATCCTCCTGCAGAGCCTTCCTACCCTCAAGCAGATCAAGGCACACACCTAACTTGGTGTCGTCTGTGAACTTACTGAGGGTGCACTCGATCCCCTCATCCAGATCATCGATAAAGATACTAAAGGGGATTGGCCCCAGTACTGAGTCCTGAGGGATGCCACTAGTGACCGGCCTCCAGATGGATTTGACTTCATTCACCACAACTCTTTGGGCCCGGCTATCCAGCCAGTTTTTAACCCAACGAAGCGTGAGTGAAATAAAGACACTGAGTGAAATAAAAATATTCCATGAAAACCTATGTCTTTCATTCATTGGTTTGAAATATTACCTGCTCCGTTTTCATAAGTGTTTTTTGGAATGAAGCAGATCTCATTTTTCTCAATACTTTGCATGTGTAAATAGGTCCAAAATTACAGGCATCATATTATGTTATTCCAAAAAAGGATTTCATGGAGGACTGGAATAGTACAGAACTTTTTTATTCACTTCATTAAGAAAACTGATCTTGAAAAAGCATAAGATAAGCAACTGGAGATCCAGGGCAGGTTGCCTTGTAACCTGCTTTTTTATCAAGCACCTACAGTTTTCATGCAAACAGCATCTAGATCTGGAAAATGCTCAATACTAGTCCAACTAGTAAAAACTAGAGCAGTGATTTAACAGAAAATTGATAACTCTTTGTGCTATGATAGGAACTTCAGGAAAAATAAATAAATATCTCATCCTACCTTCACATAAGTGCTTTTCTTGAGAAAATTCCCTTGCAAAAGGTATTTATTTATTTATTTTTAATTATGTTAAACACTATATGTTTAACTAGGAAAATTTCTGATATAGCATTGAATATTGGGTTTACTTAGGACCCATGTTGGAGCAGTTTCCTCCTGATGGATGGACCCTGTGGTATGAACCCATATTGGAGCAGATCTTGAAGAACTGCTGCCTGTGTAAAGCCCACGCAAGATCAGTTTAGGAATGAAGTCATCCTGTGGGAGGGACCCTAGGGACCCTACCCTGGAGCAGGGACAGAGAATGATGATGGAGTGGCGGAAATGAAGTGTCAGGGACTGACAGCAGCCTCCATTCCCCATTCCCCTGCACCGCTGGGGGGGGGGAGGAGGAAGAATGTAGATGAGGGTGGATGTGGGGAGTGTTTTTAGTTGGCCTTTAGTTTCTTGCTTTTCTATTCTTCTAATCTCCCTATGCTGAGCCGGTTTTCCCTGTGAGTGCAAAATCACTCTAACTGGTGAGTGATTTCCCTGTCCTTACCTCAACCCTTGAGCCCTTTCCATTGTGTTTTCTCCCCTTTTCCTTTTAGAAGGGGGAGTAAGAAAGTGCCTGTGGTGAAGTTTACCTGCCAATCAGGGTAAAACCACCACACATTTTTAGGTGAATAATAATTAAAAGGTAAACAATATTGTACTTGAATTAACAAGTAAGATTATATATTGCCTGTAACTAAACCTTATGTTTTAGAAAAATAACCTTTATCTCACTTTTCACAGCTGCATTCTGCTTTTAATGCATATAATTATGTGTCCCGGTTATTTGTCAAATGCCACATTAAAAAAAAAAAATAGAAAAAGTGGATTTCCATACTGAAACACAAAATACTTTCCTAAGTTTTCCTAATAAGGGCTTATAAAAAAAAAATAGATGTTTTATACAATCTTTCCACTCTCTAATATACTTTTTTTTTTTTTTTTTTCTTAAGTGGCTTTTATAGTAGGAAAACAAAAATCAACAAATGTATATCTGATAGCAGTTAATACATTTATTCAGATAAAATAATATTCAGATATATTATCTACTTCAATGTATTAGGCTGTGGAATTCAGGATGTACAATGACTTGTGGCAAAAAGGCTCCTGAAGTCAGGGAACGTGAGGAATCAGTCTAAAATAAAGGATACATTGAACTTATTCATCATTTAATAGGAATTATGGAAACAATTCTCGTAAGTTATCAAGTAAGCCTTTTCAATAGTCTTTCAGAACCATCTGTTTCTACACAAACATTGCAGAAAAACATTAAGAGTATGGGAATGAATACTCTAAAAAGAGATATAACCAAAAAAAATTTCTGTTTCAATATATTACAATGATCCTCTCCCTTAGAGAGGATTGAACATGTCTATGTACTTTTTTTTTCTTTTCTTTCCCCCTTTGGCCAGTAGGAGCATTGCTGGCAAAATGACATCAGCTATTTTCCTTCCTTGGGTAAATTACACTAGCTATATTAAGGGTGTTTTTGTTGTTGTTATTGTTGCATGGCCAATGAAAAGCAATAAAAATACCAAAAACAACTACACATAATAACAAGTTGAAAGAACAGTGCTCTTTAATGCTTTTTTTTTTTCTCATGTAAATGAGGAGTGTTTTACATCAGTTACATCTCATGTAAAACATTTGACTGACACCAACATATGACAGATAATATATTTTTCTACATAACTACATAGTGAACTAAAGAAGCAGTAGTCCAGATAGACAATAGAATTGAAAAAACGGAGGCTATCAAATGCCTAAATTAAAGTACATAACAATACACCACCACAAGGAAACCTGATTTTTTAAATTCATAGAATGAATTTAATTGGAAGGAACAATAAATATCCTTGCCATAGGCCTGGACAACAGTAGACCTGGTTGCTCAAAGCCCCATCTGGTCTTGAACAGCTCCAGGAATGGGGCATCCATAGCTACTCTGGGCAACCTCTTTTCCAGTGCCTCACAACCTTCTGAGTAAAGAATTTCTTCCTTATATCTCTTTTAGTTTAAAGCCACTACCCTATCACCGCACTCTCTGACAAAGGGTCCCCACTTATCTTTCCTGTAGGCCCTCTTTAAATATTGGAAGTTGTCCTGGTTTCAGTTAGGACAGAGTTAATTTTCCTCCTAGTAGCTGGTAGGATGCTATGTTCTGGATTAGGATGAGAAGAGTGCTGATAACATGCTGATGTTTTAATTGTTGCAGAGCAGTGCTTACACCAAGCCAAGGACTTTTCAGCTTCTCTCTCTGTCCTGCCAGCGGGCAGGCTGGGGGTGCAGCAAGAGCTGGGAGGGGACAGACCCAGGACAGCTGACCCAAACTAGCCAAAGGGGTATTCCATATCATATGGCATCATGCTGAACAATGTATAGGGGTGGCTAGCCAGGGTGGGGGAGCCAGCTGCTTAGGGTTAGGCTGGGCATCGGTCAGTGGGTGGTGAGCAACTGCATTGTGCATCACTTGTTTTGTACACATTATTATTAGAAGTACTATTAGTAGTAGTACTAATCATTATTGTTATCATTATTATTGTTATTATTATTTTCCTGTCTTAATAAACTGTCTTTATCTCAATTCACAGGATTCACTTTCCCGTTTCTCTCCCCCATCCCAGAGAGGGAGCAGGGAGGATGAGCGAACGGCTGTGTGGTGTTTAGCTGCCAGCCGGATAACCACAACAGAAGTATAAGGAGCTGTCTCTTGCCTAGGCT